GGGAGGCAGGCAAGAGGGTAGTGATCTTGGATATAGGAGCTATACCAGTGATAACAGCTGACCACCACAAAAAGGGTCAGCACAGAAGGAAAGAGGTCTGTCAACACAGATCATAGTGAACAACACTGTTGTGGACAGGTCATGGAGCAGAAAGAGGTCACCTTTGGAAGGAGATGGGGAAGGCAGTTGTCAACAGCTGAAGGTTTGTAACTGGCTTATTTGGAAAAGATCTGTTTTTGTTTTGTTTTTTAATTGTTAAAAAAAAACTTATTTTAGTATTAATATGTATTAGGCCTGGACTGTTTAGAGACCAACTTGAAATCTGATCAGATCAGTGATGCCTAAGCCATAGATCTGATGGTGTCTCTACCTAGATCTTACCCACAGGAGAGTAGGTTTGTGTTACTGATTTTAATAAGGACAGCATCATTCTTTTCCTTTTTTTGCTTTGCTTTGATTTTCTCTTCTCTTCTTTTCTTTTGAGGCAGGGTCTTATGTAACCCAGAATGGCATCAAACTCACATAGCTAAGGATGACCTTGAGCTTCTGATCTTCCTGCCTACACCTCCCCAGTGCTGGGATTACAGACATGTATCACATGCCTAGCTCTTTATGGTGGTTGGAATTGAACCCAGGGTCTTGTTCATGCTAGACCAACTGAACTACAATCCCAGGACAAGGACAGCATCTTGCCAGCTTGGATTTAATGGTTGTTCCATCTTCTAAGGCTGTGTAAGGAGCACCAGGGTTGCATGGCTAGTGACTAGTTTGTATTACATTACCTGGAGGGATCCGGGATAAGAGAAATTTTATTTTCTAATTTTAAAAACATTTTAAGGTTATATTTTTATTTATTTACTTTGGGTAGGCATATGTGGCATTCTGAGGACAACTTGTAGAAGTTGGTTCTTTCCTTCTACCATGTGAGTCCCCGGGATTGAACTCAGGTTGTCAGGCTTGGCAGCAGTTACTTTTATGGGTAGAACATAATATCTTATGGCCCATATTTTCCTCTTTTAGTCATTCATATTTTTGCATCTCACAGAACTGGGATAAACTGAGACTCTGACTAGGTGTTGACTAAAGTTAGGGCATGTGACTCTCATCCCCAGAGAGGCTACTGGGTGGAGCCCACAAGCTAGACAATGTGCAGAAGGGGAAGAAGTATTCTGGGCCCAGGCCTGCCATAGCAGGGACACTGTTTGCTTATAAGAAATATGAGTCCCCTGTATTCTCATTCATTAATTCCCCTGTATTCCCTCATTCATAAACGTGCACAGGGCATATGTGTCATTGGGAATACAGCACACGGCACCCACCCTGCAGTAGATGAAGACAAGTGACCAACCTGCTTGCATGCCTTCATGGTAGTTCTATCCCACTGTCATAGTTTGCCATGTCTACGTGCATGATGTGCAGTGTAGCAAGAAACCAAAATAGATGATTCTTAGAAGGCATGGAGAGGACACCAGGCTGGCCATTTGGCCACATGATATGGTAGTGGTACTGATACTTAGCTCATTTTTGAGTGCTGGAGCCTCCAGAAAACACTGGTATAGAGTTTGGTAGGGTGTGTGTGTTGCTTTTACCACAGAAGGCCAGCCTTTTTTCTCAACACTGTACACTTGTAATACTTGGTACCATGGCCTACTACTCACCACCACTCTCCATTTTGTGAGTCTTATTGGATATCTAATTTATACTTCCAGTTTAGTAATAAAGTTGATCAGCTGAAATCTGCTTAATTTGGACCATTTCTTTAGTGAATCTCTTTTCATTATTTAGAGCAGAAGCAGACAAAGTTTCTCTCTAAAAACCAAATAGTACTTTGGCATAGCTGGCCCTGGGACACTAGAGCAGCAACGCCCCCCTGTCCTGAGGACCTGAGTTTGCTAAGCCTGTTATAATTCTAATATTTTGTAGATGTGTGCCTCTCAGTTCATAGTGGAGCACAATGCAATCATGAATTTAAAAAGGTAATAAATATCCCTGAACATGGCACCACATACTGTGTTGAACGTTAGCATTTCCTTGAGGGATTTGTGGGTGCCTGTGGTCTGGTGTCACCCTACCAATAGGAATATGTCTGTCATTTGTTTTAAATTGTAAGATATTCTTTTCATCAGTTTATTGTGTAGGTGGGGACTCAAGACCTCTTCCTGAAACCTGTGGACCACCATTGCTGGCCAGCCCATAGCAGGCAGCTCACCTTTTTGGAATCTTGTGTTCTTTATGGGCAGTTTTCTTCTCTACAAGGAGCCATGCATAGCCGGGAGCACCCTTTTTTCCTAACTGCCGAGGAACAGCTGCTAGGTGGGGCCCTGTCTTCTATGGGCTGCCTGCTGATAGGCATCCTAGTCACCTCTGTCTGAGACTTTGTCCGTGGAGCTGTAATTGTTCACATCTGAGTTGTTGAGCAGTCATGTGTTAATGTCTCCTTCAACAGGGTTAAAAGTATTTCCTTACAGTCTTCTAGGATTCCTAAAAATAATGAATGGATGGTTTATAAAATAATTTTTACATGTCTTTTGGGAAAATCATGTGTTCTATTTTTACCTTTTGTGGTAAGTGATATTTTTCCTTGTATTTTAGCCTAGCTATATTCTCTGGGATACACCTAACTTGGTCCTGAACGACTCCACCTTTATATACGGATAGATGAAATTAGCCAATGCTCTGCTTAGGGTCAGATAGGACTGTTAGTTTTCGTCCATATCTCACCTTGCTAGAGTTTGGTGTAAAGTGAGTTAGAGGGGCTAGAGAAATGGCTTAGCAGTTAAGAGCATTGACTGCTCTTCCAGAGGACCTGGGTTCAATTTCCAGTACCCACATGGCAGCTCTCAACTCTCTGTAACTCCAGTTCCAGGAAATCTGACACCCTCACACAGACATGAATGCAGGCAAAACACCAATGCACATAATTTTTTTTTTAATTAAGTAAAATGAATTAGAGATCCCTTCTTTAGCTGTGTATGGTACTGGGAATCTGAACTCAGAACCTGGTGGTGCAGGATAGATAAATGCATGTTCTGGCCCCAAATGCTTTTAACACCTGAAAGGGTGGTTTGTTCTCAGATATGGTATACTCACAGACCCAGAGTTTTGTTTTTGTTTTGTTATATTTTTTATCTTTTGGTTTTTGAGACTGTGTTTCTCTGTGTAGCCCTGGCTGGCCTGGAACTTACTCTGTAGACCAGACTGGTCTTGTACTCAAAGATCCACTTGCCCACCTCCCAAGTGCTGGGATTAAAGGCATGCCCCACCACTGCCTGGCAGCCCATGAAGAAAGTTTTGTGACTACTTACTCAGCTTCTATAATAGAGAATATTTTGGGTGTTCTTCACTAGTCTCAATTCAGTTTTTCACCACCACTCGCACCCCACCCCCTCAGGAATTTATCCATTTTGTACAAACTTCATTTTAAAAAATTACATGTAAACCAGGAGGGGTGGCACACACCTTTAATAATCTCAGCACTGGAATTAAGTACAATTAGAAAGCCATGTATGGTGGCTTATACTTATAAGCCCAACACTTGAGAGGCTGAGGCAAGAGAGTCACTGCAACTTTGAGGTCAGCCTGGTGTCCATAGGGAGTTTTAGGCCAGCCAAGGCTACATAATGGAACCCTGTCTCAAAGCAATGAATGAATGAATGCCATAATCCGATTCTTTTGTCACACAAGCCACCAAATTTCAAGGGACAGCATTTTTATATGGTCAGTGGCCTCCATAATAGGCAAGGGCTAGTTTAAGATAGGCCTGGCCTTGAGCTGTCTCCACCTCTTCCTCTAAATGTTTCCTCCCTTGGTTTACCTGATAGGACATATTCACTTTCTTCTACCTTCCCATTTTCCTTCTTCATTTTGTACAATTTCCTGGGTTGATTAGTTAATAAACAAATGTAGTTCTGAGGCTGGAGAGAAGGCCTAGTGGTTAAGAATGCATACTTGTCCTCCCAGAGGATCCAAGTTCCTTTCTTAGCACCCACATCAAGCAGTTCAGACAGCCTGTAACTTCAGCTTCAGGGGATCCAATTCCTTCTTCTGGCCTCTGCAAAACACCCATACACACATTGCATACATTCCCACAGACAGACACAGACACTCACATACACAGGTGTGTGGGTGCACGCATGTGCGCACATAAATAAAAACTTTTAAAAAAATGAAGTTCTGGAAAAATTTTAAAGTTGAAATTATCTGAGTTGCATTTAAGAATAAGTTCATTCCAGGACATGTTAGGGTACACCATGTCCAGGTTGTAATCAGTACTTAAGCTACAAAAACCTGGAGCTCTGGTACTATTCTAGTTAAGCTTCCAGGTGCCTTACCAAGCCCTTTACCAGCATTGCCTGTTCCTACATGGTAAGACCCATGAACCAAGAAGCCTTCAAAGTACCTCAGTCAAGAAGCAAACTGCCTGTGTAGTTATTCTTGGGAGGTCCCAGACCACTCTACCAGGATTTCTCCAGCTGCTGCCATCTCCACATCCTGGCATGAATATCTGGCTCACTGGCCTCAGCCCACTGAACCTAACCATGGTACAGTGCCCACATGGGCCCAGAGAAAATTCAGTGAGTGGGTGGCAGGTCTGTGAGTAGGAGAGACAATGACTTAGTCTGAGTGTGAGGATGTAAAAATTGTAGGCTTCAAATGAAGTGATCAATGAAGTGCTGCTCATTGTCCTCCTGAGGTTTCTCAGGTCACCCCTGAAATCCACTGTCACCTGGAGCTTCCACAGATACCTCATCCTGCCTCTTGGGCCCCAAAGCAAGTAGTGGAGCCATCTTCTCTTTCCCTTACACCGTAAACTGTGTATTTGCTCTGGATTGGGCAGGGCTCAGGAACTCTGGGAGGTGTCTCCTCAGCAGAGCCACCTTCTTTACCATCATTTTAAAGCAAGTAAATAAACAGACACATTTAACCAAACAGTACTTGAGAATTGCTAGAGGGTGAGACAAGGTGCTCCCATGGTAACATCCATCTCTGCTTCTCCACAGACTTCACAATGTAGCCCCGATTCCAGGCTATCATTCACAGGTAAGCATAGCTGAAGCTGATCTTCCTTTCTGGCTACCTATGACTCATTATGGTGACTGCCTCATATTTCCTTGAAGTTTGGTCTCTAGCAACTGTCTGTGGAGTTATTTGGTGGTTCTTGATTGTCTTCCAGCATTTCTAGTGTGCCCTGTCCCATGGTTTAATATGTAATACTTATCTAAGATATAGTAAGGGTTTAATATGTGATTGTGTTCAGGATTGGCATCAATGTGCTTTGAATTAACAGTGCCATTTTTGTGCTAGAAAATGGAAAAGGAACAAGGGACAGAAAGAAGGTGCAGAAGCCAGCCAGAACTCAGAGTAAGGAGGGATCATCGCATCCACTTGGTGGCCTGAAGCCTCCATGCCACCGGGTGAGGAAGGACTCACAGACATCCAGAGGAGGTGAGGTCTGGGATTTTCCCAAGGGGCCATGCCATCTAGGAGGGGAGGTCTGGGTCCTGTCTGAAGAGTGAGGAGTCTGGCCCTATTTATCCTCTGCGTGCTGGCTCTAGAGTACCATTAATTCAGGGTGTGGTGGGTATGTGATATTGATCAGTCAGTTGGCTAAGAGAGGTGCATAGCTAGAAATGGTACCATGAGCCAGATGGATTTTTCTAGGGCTGTTATGGCCACACTTAGCCCTGAATATAGTGTCTAGAAGGCATAGAGGTGGCCATACTATGCTAAGAGGCCATTGGTGAGTCTGGAGCTCAGCAGGGTCTAGGTGATGACTTGGTGTTGTAAGTTAGTTTCCTGTGGCATTGAGTGAATATCTAACTGTTCCCTCTCATAAAAAGTACAAGAGTATATAGAAAAACTTCTTGAAAGTCTTATTAAATAAGAAACGCAGAGCCAAATACAGGGGTAATAGCCAAAGAGATCAGAGAATTAGCGAATAGCTACGACTAGCCTTAGCTTACCACCACACAGTAGCTTCCCCAGAGAGAGCTTCTTCCTGTCTAACCTGTGCTTTTATTGCCTTCCTGTTCTGCTTTCTCATTGGCTCTAAGCCCAGCTACATCACTACCTCGTCACTGCCTGTCTATACAGACCTCCAGTTCTCTATGGTTGGTACTGGAATTAAAGGCGTGAATCACCACACTTCGCTCTGTCCTTGACCACACAGAGACTCTGTCTGCCATGTGATCGGGATTAAGGGCGTGTGCTACCACCGCCTGACTTTTGTTTATGGCCTCACTATGACCTCTGATCTCCAGGCAAACTTTTTATTAACATACAAATAAAATATCACATTTTGGCACAAATAAAATATCACCACAAGGGTGAGGATGGCTAAATATCTAAGGTAGGATTGGACCCAGATACCAGCTGTGATGTTGAAAGGCCATGTGGTAGATCCAGGTCAAAGTGGCTGGTGATTAAGTTTGGATCCACGGGACTTAATCTAGCCTCTTGTTGGGCTCTGTGTTTTTCTGGTAGACAGTATAGTGGCAAGTGGCAGTCCCTTGAGTTGAGGTTCAAACTTTACTTACCACTGAGGCCTGAGGTGGGTCATTATTTAACGATAGGATGAGAAAAGATGGGTCATGTGTCCAACAAAAAGGATGGAGCATCTGTGAATAGAGGAAAGGCAAACTGGGAATGAAACAGATACTTGGTGTATTAGTCAGACAGGCTGTGGCCAGCTAGTCCAACAATGGCTGTCTCCCAACAGAAAGTCCAAGAATCCAGTAGTTTTTCAGTCCATGAGGCTGGATATCTTAACTGATCTTCACTATACACTAGAATCCCAAAGAAGTAGGCTCCAGTGCCAGTGAAGGAATGGATTTACCAGCAAGAGCAGGCAGACAAAGAGAGCAAGCTTCCTTATTTGGGGCCCAGATTAATGGTGGATCTTTCCACCTCAAAAGGAAAATGGGTCTTCCTACTTTAATTAAGAAAAAAAATCCTCACAGGTATATTCAGTCACTTGGGTTTTAGTTAATTCTAGATGTAGTCAAATTGACAACCTAGATTAGTCATCATTATTACTTCAGTGTATTTCTCTTGCAGAAGCCAAAGATGTTGACCAGGAAGATTAAACTCTGGGACATAAACGCCCACATCACTTGCCGCCTGTGCAGCGGCTACCTCATTGACGCAACTACAGTGACTGAGTGTTTGCACACATGTGAGTACAGCCAGTTCTGCTCTGATCTGAATGGGTAGGGGTGCTCCAGCACATTCCTTAGGGCTTTCATGTGGGCACAGGGGCAACAGGGCCAAGAGAAGAACAAAGATCTTAAAAGGTGATTGGAAAACTTACCTTCAACTAGGGATGCTACGGGTAACTCCCTGGAGGGACGTTTCTGTCAGGAAAGCTGAACCAAAGAGAACTACTTTTTTTTTTGTCTGCCAGGTTGGCCACTGGTGTAGTGATACTGTTTTCCAACAGGGAAGTACTTGCGTTGTGAAATTTCAAGTGAAGTCTTTTCTTTTTAACAGTCAAGCACCTGTGGGATTTCAAGAGTCAGTATGGTACCTATTGCCTGTTACTCATTCTGCTTGTCAGGCCTGGACTTGTGTAGGACAGGATTTTTTTTAAAAAAATTATTGTTATTTTAATTATTTTTTAATTTTTATATATCTATGAGTTTAGCCTATGTGTATGTATGCGCATTACATGCTTGCAGTACCAGCAAAATCCAGAAGAAGGTGTTGGATCCTGTGAAACTAGAGCTGCAGAAAGTTGTCGACCACCATGTGGATGCTAGAAACTGAACCTAAGTCTTCTGCAAGAGCCAAGTGCTCTTAACCACTGAGCCGTCTCTCCAGCCCCCCTAAGATTTTTTTTTTCCTGTCTCACTGAGAGACAGATCTCCTGTGTGGGTCACCTAGAGGCATGACTGCTGCATCTAAGTGCATCTAGTGACCAGCACATATGACTTCTATACATTCTGCATTTTTGAAGATGCTTTCCATTTTTAAAGAATTTTTAGGCTAAGATTAATTGTATTGTTAGAAATCCATGGTACAGTTTTGTGTTAGGCAGTTTCACTGACTTTTACTATTTTGCTATATAAGACAATTTTGTCATCTTTTAAGTCAAATGCAGATTTTTTTTTTTTCTTTTTTTTTTTTTTGGTTTTTTGAGACAGGGTTTCTCTGTGTAGCTTTGCGCCTTTCCTGGAACTCACTTGGTAGCCCAGGCTGGCCTCGAACTCACAGAGATCCGCCTGGCTCTGCCTCCCGAGTGCTGGGATTAAAGGCGTGCGCCACCACCGCCCGGCCAAATGCAGATTTTTAAATATTAGTTATATTATTATGATCTTGCCACATAGTGACTTAGACAGCCACTCCTAGTGTTTTCTTCTCCAGTTAGTTCCTAGGCCAGGAGTATGTAACAGGTGGTAACCGCACAGTGCAACCCAAAGGCACTTTCTTTTCAGAGGTCAGGAACTATGTAGAGGAGGTTTATGCAAGTGCCCTCTTAGCACTCTTGGGGTTGGCTGGGCATAGTACCAATTAGCACCTCTCTTGTGGGTTTCTGTCATTCTCTCCCTTTGGATAGTCTGCAGGAGCTGCCTGGTGAAATATCTGGAGGAGAATAATACCTGCCCCACTTGCAGGATCGTGATCCATCAGAGCCACCCACTACAGTATATTGGGTGAGTAACAATGTGGGCTGGTGCTCTCTGGCCATGATGTTCTTACATCTGCATAGTAGTGGCCACCTTGTTTCTGGCCCAGATACTACACTGCAGGTGACCAGGGCCATGCCAATGGATATCTAGTAGCACCTGCTCTGGAGGAACCATGAGAACAACTGGAATCTTATAAGTTTTCTTAAACTAAAAGTTTGAAGTAGAAGGGACCCCGACCTCCTTTCTTTAGAGTAGTAACTTGCCCCTGGGCTGGAACTTGAGCTGAGGAAGCAAGGGCCTGAAAGTGGAATTTCTGATTTCAAAGTCATGCTGATGGAAATTAAGGCACCGATACATATGGCATGAGGGAATCAGAGAAGATAACTAAAAGGAAGAGGTGTTTGTTTTTCACTTTAAAGTTGTACAGCATGTCACAGTCACAGCTGAGTCACATATGCAGCTGGGAGCAATAGCAGTTCAAGTTGAGCTGTCTGGCCTTGGAAGCCCCTCCAGACCTCTAGACAGCACTACTGATGCCACTGTTTCTACTGCCCACACTGAGATGAGAGTGTTTTCTGTGTGCCTAACTTCATTGCTAAATCATTTATTCATAGAGTCTCTGGAGAGGACCTCAGGGTCTGTATATCCTATGTGGTGGACCTATGGTAATATCTAGCAGTTCTTGGTGTTAAGTATTGTCCTGAGTCCTTGCCAGTGTCCCACATGTGGAATGGGTGGGGGACATCTGATTTAAGGAACTTCAGTCCAAATTCCCATTGACTCTTTTTTTTTTTTTAAACACATTTATTTATTATATATACAGTGTTCTGCCTGCATGTCACAAGAAGGCACCAAATCTCATTATAGATGGTTAGGAGCCACCATGTGGTTGCTGGGAATTGAACTCAGGACCTCTGGAAAAGAAGTCAGTGCTCTTAACCTCTGAGCCATCTCTCCAGCCCCCCATTGACTCTTGAACCAAGTTCCAATGCTCTGTGTTCTGGACAACCCTGTATAGTGGTAGGTTATAGTTTTGTCAGTATGGTGGCTCTAGGCACATCTTAGCCCACTACCATAGTTATCCCTAAGCTTGGTGCCTTCCCACACATCAACTCACTGTTGAGACTTCCTTTTGATATCACCTGTCTCAGTCTCTGTTCTGCGTTTTCTGTCCTCATGGGGTAGTACACGCTGTGTCATCAGCTTTCTCTCTGGAGTGCAGTTCTGTAGAGCTCAGAAGAAGGTTCCCCACTTAAATTGCTGCTGACAGGAGTGGTGGGGGGCTCTTAGGGCTGTGAGTTGGAGGCTGGGGACACTGCTGCCCTCTTTATGGTTGCTGGAGTTTGCTGTTGGAGGAAGAACACTAAAGAACTATCTTGTGGGCAGATCCTCTCATGGAAGTTTAGATTGTTATGCAAACAAAAAAGAGAATTAGGGGAGGAGCACAGCAATGGACCTGGAGAGGCTCTTAGTCTCTCTCTCTCTCTCTGGTTTAATTGACATAGGGTTTTATGTAGCCTTGAACTTCTGATCCTCCTGCTTCTACCTCCCAAGAACTTTGATTATAAGTGTTCTACCACACCCCATTTATGCAATGCTGGGGATCAAACCTAGAGCTTTCTGTATTTCTGTATGTAAGGCAAGTATTCTCAGTTGAGCTGTAGCCCCAGCTCTCTTAGCCGCTCTCTCACTGGTAATGTCTGGGTTCCATCTGAAATTGTCTAGGGTGATACCTCTGCTGGTGCCATCCTCTGCTCCTGACTTGGTTTCACCTACCTCCACCTCGTGCCTGATTCTCTACTTACAGGGGCCAAAGAGAGGAAGCCTGTGGGGCCCTGCAATGTTATGTAGAAGGGATTTTCTTGGCTTTAGAATTCATGTCTCAAGATTTAGGGTGGAGAGATGTGTTGCCAGAACTAGCCGGGATGATCCAAGCAGGTGGTAGAGACATTGCAGAGTGTTAAAACATACCATTATGAACCTGGAGTGTGATCATGTTCGCTTTGAAGAAAGCTCCACTTTGAGAGCCTTCCATCCAAAAAGTACCATGTGTTATGTTTCTAACTAGCCCCCTTGCTAGGCCTCCAAGGTAGGCAAAGCCTGGCATTCAAATATGGAGCTCTGGCCACTAATTCCACTCAGCATGGGGTCTAGTAGAAGCTAGGCGGGTGTGGTAAAAGATGTCAAGGGCATCAAATGCATGGAGGGCCATGTCTTAGTTTGCTTCTCTGTTGCTTTGATAAAACACTAACCAAAACCAACACCGAGAGGAAAGGATTTATTTAGCTTATACTTCTAAGTAATAGTTCATCACTGTTAATGTAAGAATCGGGGCTTACTGGCTTATTCTCCATGGCCTTCTCAGCCTGCTTTCCCCATACAATCTTGGACCCCCTGCCCAGAAGTGACAGTTACACAGTGGGCTGGACTCTCCTATTATCAGTCACTAATTAAGGCCCTACCCCCACCCTTGGCCAAAGGCCCAGTCTGGTGGGGGCAATTCCTTAGTTGAGGTTCCCTTTTCCCAGGTGACTCTAGTTTGTGCCAAATTGGCAAAAACCAATCAGCACAGACCCCAGTCTACAAAGTCCAAATTTGCACCTGAATGGACCATGCATCCTGGTCTAGGTAGTAGAAAGGAGGTTTGGAGCTCTGTGTGACCACCTTACAGTATACAGTTGGGCCTCATAGCCTAGAGCTTCCAAAGCACAGGAAGTTGGTTCATGCAGTGAGTGATGATCTTAAACAGTTAAGTGGCTACAGTTGCACTAGGACTTGCCCATGAGTAGCCACTGGGCTGAGTCCAGGTTGGCTAGATTCCTATGCATTTGTTGAAGTGTAATCATTGGCCAGTTACTAGATTTATACAGGTTTATACAATAAGGGTTAGAAGTTAAAATGGCTTTGAAAATTAAGAAATTCTCTATCACTTTATTCAAGAAAAGAAATTACTTGACATAATTATTTTTTATGCTTAAAAATAACAAACTATAATAAGAGCCATATTGTAGATAAAGAAGCTCTGCACCTTCATGTTTTCCTGTGTCCAGAAAGTTGAGCCTAACCCTTTGTCCAGAGTGACCTTTCATTCCAGGAGGCTGGAACCTAAATTAAATGATGCATCAATTCGAGTCCTAGATAATTTTTAGAACATGTTTTTCCTTGCAAACTAGAAGGAAAATCTAACCTCAAGTTGTTAAGTAGAAGATATAAATACAGCATTTACATTGGTTGACTCCCCCCATACGCCTGTTTTCTTTTTGCAGTCATGACAGAACCATGCAGGACATTGTTTACAAGCTGGTGCCAGGCCTCCAGGAAGGTGAGTTGAAACACTGCTCAGCCCAGTTCATAGCTAGAGTTTTGGCTCTTGGACCCAGGTCCCTTCATCAGCAGCATCCCTGTTTCCCACATGTCTGTTCTTAGTTCTAGATTTTCCATTGTCTTCCTGTGGTACATAGGCTGTGTTAGTTTTGTGAAACAGCAACGCCTCAAGATAAAATGCTGAGATCTTCAGAACCATTTACAGTAGAGTTTTATAAGGATATAGCCAAGTACATGGAGATCTCTGTATGATGTAATCACTGATTTTTGTTTATGCTACTTTGCTGAAAGTGTTTATCAGCTATAGGAGTTTCCAGGAGGAATTTTTAAGGTCAGTTATGTATACAATGGTATCATCTGCAAATAAAGACACTTTGACTTCTTTTCTTCCTGTTTGTAACCTCTTGATCTCTTTCATTTGTCTTATTTTTCTAGCTAAGACTTCTGTTACTATATTGAAATAGATATGGAGAGAGTGGATAACCTTGTCTTGTTCCTGATTAAGTGGAAATGTTTTAAGTTTCACTCTATTTAGGTTAATGTTAACTATGGACTTGTTGAGGCCTATTATGTTATAGTATGCCCCTTGTGTCCCTAGTCTCTACAGGACTTTTATCATGAAAGGGTGTTGGATTTTGTCAAAAGCCTTTTCTTCATCTAATGAGATGATCATGTGGTTTTGTTGTGAACCACCTCTGAATCTCTGGGATGAAGCCTACTTGATCATGGTAGATGTTCTTTTTGATGTGTTCTTGAATTTGGCTTGCAAGTATTTTATTTATAAATTTTGCGTGTTCATAAAGGAATTTGGGCTGTTTCTTCTATTACTGTTTTATGGAGTAATTTGAGGAGTACTGGCATTAATTCTTCCTTGAAAGTCTGGTAAAATTCTATGCTAAAACCATTTGGGCCTGGAATTTTTTATTTGATTGGGAGACTTTTTGTTTTGTTTTGTCTTCAGTTTTTTTGAGACAGGATTTCTCTGTGTAGTTTTGGTGCCTGTCCTGGAGCTCACTCTGTAGACCAGATCTCGAAATCACAGAGATCTGCCTGCCTCTGTCTCCAGAGTGCTGGGACTAAAGGTGTGTGGCACCGCTGCCTAGCTTGGTTGGGAGACTTTTAAGGACTGCTTCTATATCACTAAGGGTTATAGGTCTGTTTAAATTGCTTATCTGATATTGATTTAACTTTGGTAGATGGTATAAACTGAGAAAATTATCTATCCATTTCTTTTAAAATTTCCAATTTGGTGAAATACAGGTTTTTAAGATATATTCTTATGGTTCTCTGCTTTTCTTTGGTGCCTGTTGTTATGTCCCACTTTTCATATCTAATTTTGATAATTTGGATCTTTTCTCTCTGCCTGGCTAAAGATTTGTAAATCTTTTGATTTTTCTCAAAGAGCCAACTTTGTTTTATTGGTTTTTTTTTTTTTTTTTTTTTTTTTTTTTTTTTGGTTTTTTTTTTTTTTTCTGTTTGTTTGTTTTTTTGTTTGTTTGTTCAGAGCTGAGGACCAAACCCAGGGCCTTACACTTGCTAGGCAAGCGCTCTACCACTGAGCTAAATCCCCAGCCCCTGTTTCTATTTTATTGATTTCAGCCCTGAGTTTGATTATTTCTTTCCATCTACTCCTTTGTGTATTATTCCTTCTTTTTGTTCTAGAGCTTTCAGGTATGCCATCAAGTTAGTAATATGAGATCTCTCCGATTTTTTGTTTGTGTGTGTGTGTGTTTTTTAACACAGGGTTTTTTTGGTGTAGCCCTGACTATCCTTGAACTAGCTCAGTAGATCAGACTGGCCTCAAACTCACAAAGTTGCCCTTGCTTCTGCCTCCCAAGTGCTGGGACTAAAGGTGTGTGCCACCACTACCTGTCTCAATTTTTAATATAGTCACTTAGTGTTATGAACTTACCTCTTAGAATAGCCTTTATTGTGTCCCATAAGTTTGGGTATGTTGTTTTTTCATTCAGTAGTCATTTGTTCAGTTTCATGAGTGTGTAAGCTTTCTGTTGTTTCTGTTGTTGATGATATCCAGCTCTAATCTATGGTGGTCAAACAGGATGCAGGGTGTTACTTCAGTTTTCTTATATCTGTTGAGACTTGCTTTGTGTCAAGTTTGTGGTCAGTTTTAGAGGTACTGAGAAACTATATTTGTTTATGTCAGGGTGAAATGTTCTGTAAATATGTTAGATCTGTTTAGTTTATGAAGTCAGTTATCTCCAGCACTTCTCTGTTTAGTTTTTGTCTGGATGACCTATCTGTTGGTATTGAAATCACTCACCCTCACTGTGTGAGGGCAAATATGTAATTAATTTTAGTTATAGTAAGGTTTCTTTTATGGATTTGAGTGCCCTTGTGTTTGTCCCATAGATGTTAAGAATCATAATATTGCTTAGCAGTGGTGGCATGTGCCTTTAATCTCAGCACTTAGGAGGTAGAGGCAGGTGGATCTCTGTGAGTTCAAGGCCAGCCTGGTCTACAAAAAAGAGTTCCAGGACAGCCAGGGCTACACAGAGAAACCCTATTTTGGGGGGGGGAAATGTAAATCCTCTTGGTGAATTTTTCCTTTGTTGAGTATATATAATGTCCTTCCCTATCTCCTTGGATTAGTTTGAAGTGTATTTTATTGGCTACATTGGCTTCTTTCTTGGGTCCATTTGCTTGGAATATCTTTTCCATCCTTTTATCCTGAGGTGATTTCTGTCCTTAATGTTAAGGTATATTTCTTGGATGCAGTAGAAGGAATGGTCCTGTTTTTGTATCCAGTCTGTTGGTCTGTGTCTTTTTATTGGGGGAATTGAGACCATTGATGCTGAGTTATCAATGAGCAGTGTCTGTTGATTCCTGTTATTTTGTTGTGGTGGCATAGAACCCCACCTCCACCCCTTTTGATTTGCTGGTCTTAGATTATATATTCTTTGTGTTTTCTTGGGTGTGGTTAACCTCTTCAGATTGAAGGGTTTTTTTTGTTTTTTGTTTTTTGTTTTTTTTTAGTGCCTTTTGAAGAGCTCTGTTTGTAGATAGGTACTGCTTAAATATGATCTTATTGTGGAATGTCTTTTTTGTGATTGAATCATTTCTTGTGATTGAAAGTTTGGCTGGTATAGTAGTCTGGGCTGGCATCTGTGGTTTTTTAGAGTTTGTAAAACATCTTTTCCAGGTCCTTCTGGCTTTTGGAGTCTCCATTGAATAGTCAAGTGCTGTTCTAATATATCTGTCTTTATATGTTACTTGATTATTTTTCCCTTGCAGCTTTTAATATTCTTTCTTTGTTCTGTATGTTTAATATTTTGATTATTATGTGTCATGGGGAATTTCTTTTCTTATCCAGTCTGTTTGGTGTTCTGTATGCTTCTTTTACCTTAGATAGGCACCTCCTTCTTTAGGTTAAGGAAGATTTATTCTATGATTTTGTTGAAAATATTATCCATGCCCTTGACCTGGGTTTCTTCTCCTTTATTCCTGTTATATGTAGAGTTGGTCTTTTCATAGTGTCATAGATTTCTTGGATATTTTTGTGCCTGGAGTTTTTTCAATTTAACATGTAGAAGGCATCCAGTTCTTCTACCTTGTCTTCAGATTCTCTCTTGCATCTCTTGTATTCTGTTGGTGAGGCTTGCCTCTGAGGTTCCTGTTTGAGTTTCTGAATTTTTCATTTCCATGTAGCATGAATCTTAAAGAGTCTTATTAACAAAAACAAACCCGGAGCCAGGTATTGGGGTGAATGCTGAAAGATCAGAGAAACAGAACAAGCCACAGCTACCTCACCTTGCCAGTTCCTCAGCTGATCCTGTTTCCTCAGACTGGAAGCCTCTGAGTCCTCATCCAAATGGATCTCAGCTGAACTGTTGTTGCTCAAAAGCCTAAAAGCTTAACCAGCTCTAGTTCTTGGTCCTCACACCTTAAATACCTTTCTGCTTTCTGCCATCACTTCCTGGGATAAAAGGTGTGAGTCACCATGCCTGGCTGTTTCCAGTGTGGTCTTGAACTCACAGAGATCCAATGGATCTCTTCCTCTAGAAGGTTAGGATTAAAGGTGTGAGTGCCACCATTTTCTGGCCTCCATGTCTGTCTAGTGGCTCTTCTGTTCTCTGACCCCAGATAAATTTATTAGGGTACACAATATATTGGGAAACAGAATATCACCATATTTCCATATCTCTCAGTTTGGGTTTTCTTTATTGATTCCATTTCTGCTTTCATATATTGAATAGTTTTCTTCATTTCATTCCATCATTCATTTATATTTTCATAGATTTCATTAATGGATTTATTCATATCATTAAGGCCCTTGAGCATATTCATAAAGGCTATTTTAAAGTCCTTGTGCTTCAGCTATATCACATTTCTCATGGACTACTGTAGTAGGGTTGCTGGGCTTTAGTGGAGACATATCGTGCTATTTGACCACCACTGATTAAAGCTGAATATCAACAACAGAAAGCTTACAAACTCATGAAAACTGCACAACTCACTACTGAATGAAAATGAGTCAGGATAGAAATTATGTTTTTATCTTGGTATCTGAGTTTGGAATAATTGCAATTCTAGTTTGTTGATATCTAGTATTGTCTTTGTTGAGTGGGCTTTCCATTTTTTTGACTTCTGTTGCCCTCTCTAGATCTTAAGAGTGTGTGGTGGCTGTAGGTTTCATGAATCTCTGTAAGGTGTGGCCACTGGGGGTCCCTGAGTAGAACTTGTTTCTAGGTATTGGGAGCTGACACTCAGGAATGGGGATTGGATAGAAGGGTGGGAATGGATGGGTGGAGAGGGTTCACAGGAGGGGAGAAAGCTGGGTCTGCCATAGGGCTCTGTGGAGTCCATAGTGAATGGAGGAAGACTGGCCCCACAGGTGGTCTGCTGCTGAGCTGGGAGATGAGACTGTGACTGCAGAAGGAATTGGAGGATGCCGAGGAGAGTGAAGATCGCCTTCCTGTCTCTCTGGCCAGTGTAGTCAGTAGGTTTCTAGGGAAAGACTGCCTCAGGTGTTGGTGGGTGAGACAAAGGGATGGAGTGAGGAACTGAAGCAGTAACTTTTAACCACAGTTGAATCAGTATTGTCCCCCAAAAGGATTCCATTCTCCTTATCAGTGAGTTTACATTAACTACAAAACCAAACTCTACTTCATTGCCATTACTGTATTTTGATTGACAGTGTTCTGTGGCTAAACTATATCTGCAGTCCCTTATTACTGAATTTTGAATTTCATCCACAAGCAGCTTTGGAAATTTGCTTTTCTTCAGTTATTGAGCTTTTAGCAGCATCTCAGTTTTGCCCTCTGGTCACAGAGCTTTAGGTTTGCTTTGCTTCTTTACATAGAAAACCTGCAGCCAGCTGGGGCCTGATGCTGAGTGGGGCTGGTGTACATAGAGTCTGGCTTGCTGTTGGTGTGTGTGACTCAGCCTTTCCACAGTGGGTTGCACCCACTGTGGGCCTAGCAGACACATCTAATTCAAGTCAACTCGTTGGCAGAGTGTTTTTTGGGAATAGTTGTAGAGTCTCAGATGCCATTCTGCTTCTAAATTCCGAGAGAATCCTGTGTTTCTTTTTTGAGTGTGTGGGCATTACACTGGCAGAGCCTGAGCCAGTTTACAGTCTGTATTTTCCATAACTCTGGTTATGCTCCTTGCTACATGTACTGTTTGCAGTGGCTGCCTAAGATTCCTTGGGGTAGTGACCCTACTCTGGTCCCATGGTGCACCTGTTGGAGTCACTTTGCCTGTTGATTCTGGACAGTGCTGAAGTATTCACAGCTTCTGTAGGGATGTCCGCTGAGCAGGAGAGATATCATGTACCTTAGACCAAGTTTAACTAGCTCAGTTCTGTTTATCATGCAGCACTTAAGTTGTGTGTGATCCTCCAGTGTTACAAGTAAGACTTCCTTACACATTGATGTGCTTTAGGATAGATTACTAACAGAATTTTTTTGTGTTGTTGGCTAAATTTTAATGTATTTTAGATATATAATGCCAGAAAATTCCAGTTAATGTTTCTATATCTGTTTGCTTATTTGTTTGGGTGGTTTTTTGTTTTGCTTGTTTGTTTTGTAGGTAGGATCTGACTAGCTCTAGCTGGCCTTGAATTCATTGAGATCTGCATGGGTCTGCCTTCCAAGTGCTAGTATTTATAGGTTTGTGCCAACATTCCTGGAAATGTTTCTATATTTGTACATGTCTGACATTGGACATATTAGACTTTTTTTTTTTTTTTCTGTGACCAATACCCTAGAGAATTCGTTTTGTCATACTGTTTTAGGATTTTAAGTTCATGGTCATCTGGTTCTATTATTTGTGGGCCATGGTGAAGCAGAAGAATATCATGGTGGAAGGGTATAGCAGAGCAAAGTTGCTTACCTTATGGTGGCCAGAAAACAGAGGAGCAAAAACAGACAAGAATGACTAGGAGCAAGATCCTCTTTAGAAGCGTGCCCAGTGACCTGCTTCCTATAGCTGGGCCCTGCCTTTTATACCTGTTGGTAATACAATGAGGTTATCCACTGAAGTTAGAGTTCTCCTGATCCAGTCACCTCCCAAGAGCCCCATAGTTGGCCACCTTGAAAATGAGCCTTCAGAAGACATTTCAGATTCAAACCACATACTGGGGTATTACTGTTCCACCTTTTTATTATTATAGATGGAAAATAAGGAAATAGACAGTAAACATGGTGACAGAAGCTGAATTATTTCTGCCTTTGGTGTTCTGGGCTTTTGGTCTTAAGGTCATAGCTTTTTGAGGCCACTTTGGGTGACTTCCCTTTGTCAGAAATCATTCCATGCTCTGGTTTCAGGGTTGTCTTTCATACACATGTATATGGGAATGTCTCTTTTTTCATTTGTTTATTTTATGTATATATGTGTACATGTGGGGACAAGTGTGTTCCCTGATGTATGTGCTGTGTGGTTGGATATAGAAGTCGGGACAACTTGTGGCAATCAGTTCTTTCCTTCCACCATGTGGGTCACAGTAGCAAACTCAGGTTGTCAGGCTTGGTGACAGGCATCTTTAGCCACTGAGCCATCTCTCTGGTCCAAGAACATTTCTTGGGCTGAGCCCTTCCTTCCCTTCCTCCACTCTAGAAGGACTCCTTTTCTGACCAGGCTCATAGCTTACACATCTTCATATGTGTACAGTCAGGTTTTGCAAAGCATCTGTTCAGGCTGGACATGTTCAGAACATGTTCTGGGCTCTCTAGAGGCTCCAGATCTATAGGGAAAGATAAATGTGCAGATGAAAAGTTTAATAAGGCCAGGCATGATGATGGCACATGCTTTTAACCCCAGCATTCAGGAGGCAAAAGCAGGCTGTCTCTGTGACTTAGAGGCTAGCCTGGTTTACACAATGAGTTCCAGGCCAGCTAGTGCTACCTAGTAAGACCCTGTCTCAAAAAATAAGTAAAAATTTAAAAAGTTTAATGAAAAATCATTTCTTGGTTGACTACATGTAAAGTATCTTTTATAGAGTTACTTGTAAATTTTTGGTTTGAACAAATCATTTTAAGTTTCCTTTGCCGTCTGTATTCTGAGCAGTGACCAGGATCTGATGCATGTCATTTGGGTCTGAATTTTAGTCTCATGAATGGAGCTTTTGCTGAAAGTCAGAAGCTGCTTTTGTCTCATGTAATTGATAATTTCCTCCAAGTACAAGGTATCAACCTGGTCTAGGCAGTGGGGGTTGTATGCTGACCATCTAAGGACAGACCATGCTGCTTTATTGGATAATGATCTAGAGAAGCATAATAATCTAAAACGCTGGACAGCTTCATGACTTAGATGCCTGCCTTTAAGAATAAACTTTCTCTGTAGTCTGGAGGTTTCTGTTTCTTCTTTTTCTTACATTTCTTTCATGGCCACTGCTGCCCACAGCCACTGGAGGCAGTCTTTACCCAATACAAGACAGACATGGCCACTGGCCACTGCCAGTCTCTGATGTGACCAAGGGACCTTGGCACACAAACACAGGTTTCCAGGACAGGATTGTTCTGGGTCTGTCCTTGTTTTCCAGGTGTGTCTACTACCTTCAGCCTAGTGAGAATTCTTTTGCACTTGATGGCAGCCAGATGGTTCTAGATTGTGACCATCATGGCTACAGGGACAGTGGGAGCATTCGGCAGTATGTGTGGATTGCCAAGCTGCCTGTGCAAAAATGGTATATGTACATTGTTAGTGATGATGTATGAAGGGTCATCCGGGCCACCTCCTCAGGGTCTCTCACACTCTAGGGAGCCCCTCAAACTACCTGTCATGCTCCAGGTGATGAATAACCCCACACCATCTTAGAGGGCTGAGGAGGTTGGGTCATAGTCCTGGAACAAGATCCCTACGGTTCCAGAGCCTATCTTGTTGCACCAGTGTGTCCTGTCTCAGTGTTCTTAAACACCCGCAACTAGGGCACTAAGGTTTTTCGTTCTGACCTGTGCTTGTTTTCTTACTAGTATCATCCTTCAGACTCATCTAACTCTGCAAGTTTCTTTGTGACATTAGTGAGCAGTTTTACTATTTAAGTCCTTTCCTACTGATTATTAAAATTGTCTCCATTCTTAATAGCGGAAATGAGGAAACAGAGGGAATTCTATCACAAACTGGGCATGGAGGTACCAGGTGACATCAAGGGGGAGGCGTGCTCAGCAAAACAGCACTTAGATCCCCGCAATGGTGAGTAGCTGCATTAGACCACCATGCAATTCAGAGGCTCATTTATCAGGCTTTCCCCCACAGAGCACTTTGTCTCAAGGCTTAGGTGGTTTTGACCATTTTTCTGATGGTTGTTGAAAAGGCTCTTCATCAACCCTGGTAGCTGGACATGTGGGTTAGACTATAAGAGATACTAGAAAATGCCTAGGGGTCATGTGGAAGAGAACAGAATTGGACAGAAGGCCTAGGAAAAAACTATAGAAGGTAGATATCCTTAAGATTCTGACTTTGCGCCGGGTGGTGGTGGCACACGCCTTTAATCCCAGCACTCGGGAGGCAGAGCCAGGTGGATCTCTGTGAGTTCGAGGCCAGCCTGGGCTACCAAGTGAGTTCCAGGAAAGGGGCAAAGCTACACAAGAGAAATTCTGTCTCGAAAAACCAAAAAAAAAAAAAAAAAGATTCTGACTTTGCTTGCTTTATGATAAAAAGGCCAAATAGTAGTTGGATTTGGGCATAAAGTTAATTGGTACTTTTAAGTCTATTCAATAAATTATTTAAATCTTGAGTACTGGCACTTTGCTACTAGGACCATGTAAGTTCCTGAGAAATCTCAAGACCAGCCTGTATATGCTTAAGAGCCTAAGGCAAGTTGGTGCCCAGGTTCCTATGGGAGCCAGACTAGGCTTGGGTGAGAGTGGGTAGGGTGGATAAAAGTGAGAATCTGGTCATGAGTATTTGTCCAAACAGTAAGGTTCCATGAGCCAGACTACTTACAGAAGTAAGGTTGCTGTGGTGAGTGCTGAGTGGTCCCAGAGGCTTGTCTCTGCTGTGCTCACCAATTTTGGTTACTGTCTCCATCTTCTGAGTCCCTTAAGACATATTAGTCCAAATCCACGAGTCTCTCAAGACACATAATCCAAAATCTGCCTCACCCAGCTGCAGCCATAGGTCCTCATACCACAGAGTTGCTTAGTTCCTTAGCAAATATGCAGAATGGTTTTAACTGCTACCACTGGATGTACGTATGCTCTCAATAGAGTGAATATCAACATTGTTTTTAGTTTGCTGTGAACTTTTACAAATACTATAACATTTTGGATTTCTTAATATGGGTTTTGCTAGTCCAAAATGCTTGGAGCCAAAAGTATTTCAGTATTGGAATTTTTTTTTTCATTTTGGAAAAGTTGTATATAATATTTTAATTCTACCTTTTTCTATATACAACCTGTCATATGGGGTTAAGTATAAAAGTTTACACTTACACCTCAAAAAGTTTTACATACTAGAACTTTTGGAATAGAGATATTTCAACCTGTACAACATTTTCTATTTGTGCTAAAAGGTGAAACCAAAGCAGACGACAGTTCCAATAAAGAGACAGCAGAAGAGAAGCAGGAGGAGGACAACGATTACCACAGGAGTGACGAGCAGGTGAAAATGCCTCCTCTGTAAATTTTCTGGCATCAGTTCATTCCCGTGTTTGCATACTTCAGTGTCTCGTGAAACTGTAACAGGATAAAACATCATGAAGTTTTCCTCCTGTTAATCACTTAACTTTTCTTTATATTCCTATTGTTTATGTTTTAATTACCAAAGCAACACATGGTAACTGTAAAGCATTTCAGACATACAGAATTACAGTTCACAATCAGATTATGTTTTATACAGCCCACTGCAACCACTCACCATTGGTGGTTTGGTACCTTCTCTGCTGTGCCCCCAAGGGAAGTGACCCATCACCACGATAAAGGGAAGTAAGCATGCAATGTTGAGGACTCTCCATGTCTCATTTGCCACATTATCAGCTAAACAAAACAAAACAAAACCAACCAAACAAAAACCGTATCATTACAGAAGTGCCATAGAAGGATCTAATAAAACTCCATATCCCTGTCTACAGAACTTCCTAGTTTGTGAGTTCTAACAGTTGTGATGCTTTTGATGAAATAGGATCATTGTCTTACTAAAACAAGGAGTAAGGAAATGCCATGACTGATTGGTTCTGTGTTTAGAAGTCCTCTCCCAATGGCAGGGAAATAAGAATGAGGCACTTAAAGAGGAACAAAGATGCTATTATTCCTAGGTAATGCTGTCTTACATAAAACCTAAGACGCCGGGCGGTGGTGGCACACGCCTTTAATCCCAGCACTCGGGAGGCAGAGGCAGGCGGATCTCTGTGAGTTTGAGGCCAGCCTTGACTACCAAGTGAGTTCCAGGAAAAGGCGCAAAGCTACACACAGAAACCCTGTCTCAAAAAAAACCAAAAAAAAAAAAAAAAAAAAAAACCTAAGACAATCCTCTGAAAACAGAACTTTGCTCCATGGGTGATTGGCTCAGCATGAAATAATTAGTACATGTTGGGAATTGGCAAAGAACCAACGCACAACACCAACAAAAATTTTGGTATGATTTCCTTGGAAAAGAGAGCTCCTTTCCCCAGTCTGACTTTAGACATGATGCCAAGGTTGACAGGAAACAGCCACTATACAGCTTACTGGGAGATGAATGCGCATCAACAGCCATGAGATTGCTGTACACAGTAGGGGTGATCTTGGCCCTATCAGAAGACATAGTAACTGAAACAGTATATTGGGGCTGGAATGGTGGAATCTTATTTTAACATGTCCATTTCTGCAATTAATGATAGTCGGCACCATAGAATAAGGATAGGTTTGCAGATAAATGTGGGATAAGCATTCTCCTGTGGTGAGAGGACCACTCTGACTACCCTTGTGTACACAGGCACTACAGTCACCTTGGAGTGGCCCCTTGTCTCATCTGTTTTACTGATTCTGAGCATCAGTAACAAATAACATCAGTAACAAATAACAGTAGGTATTGTCTGTAGGTACCTTGGAACAACTCTCAGGCAATATCCCCAGGTTTCACAGGCCCTGCTCTGTAGGCCATGTGCTTGCTAGCCTTTCTGGAGCAATTGTGTTCCTTGCTTGGACTCATTACTATGCTTTTGGAAGTCACTGGGTCTCTAGACCTTGCCCAGGCCTGGGTGTTGCTTGTGTCAGTTTTTTATAGATTGGCATAGAATTATTCAGAGTATTTTCTCTAATCTTTTACAGTTTAAAAAATTGCTATTGTTGACTATTGTTAAGTTTTGCCTTTTCCTTTTTATAACAGATATGCTACTTGTTTGTTTCTTAAAGTATATGTGAAGAGTGAATTTTGTTTTTGTTTTTGTATTGGTCTAGCCTTTGGAGCTAAACTTGATCTCACCCAGGCTGTGCACTTCCTGGGTGCCTTGGGTACATCCCTGGCACTGACAAGTTGTGCCTTACAATCCTATTTCTGGAGAGGCATGAAGGCCATCATCTTGCCATTCTAGATAAGTGTTCTCAAGTGTCCACCTGAATACCCTGCTTTGGCTGTAGTACTTTTTATTTCCTTTCTCTCGTATTTAGAGGTGCTGTCTGTGCTGATCTCTGCATGGAGTCCATGCTCCTCCAGTGTCCAGGTTCTGGTTTGCTCTTTTGTTGCTGTGGTAAACAACATGACCAAAAGCAACTTGGGGAGGAAGAGGCTTGTTTCATTTTTCACTTTATGGTCCATCATCAAGAGAAGCCGAGATAGGATCTCAAGGTAGGAACCTGGAGGCAGAAACTAAATCAGAGACCACAGAGGAACACTGCTTATTGACTACCTTCCTCTGGCTTGCTTACCTAGATTTCTTATACAACTCCTTAGGGTAGCACTGTCCTCAGTGGGCTGGGCCTATCTCCATTAATTAGCAGTCAACAAAATGCCCCACAGACCAATTTGATGTAGGCATTTCCTGAGTTGAGGTTCTTTCTTCCCAGATGTATCAAAAAGACAATCAAGATTAGCCATAACAAGTCTACTCTTCCTCAACTTGACATACAAACATATCACTATTAAACCATAGCCTTTCTTTTTTTGTTTGATATGAGAATATAAAATACAGTACAACTTTAAAGTCCCACAGTGTTTAAGAAGTTTCATCACTTAAAAGTTCAGTGTCTTGGGGACTGAAGAGATGGCTCAATGAGTCTCTTTAAAAGTCAGAAGTCTTAATTCTGCACTCCTGTAAAATCAGAGTTGAGTTAAATACATTCTTGTTTCAAAAGGAAAAAACCAGGCTATAGAAACAATCACAGTTGCTGGGTGATGGTGGCACATGCTATTAATCCTGGCACTTGTGGGCAGAGGCAGTTGAATCATGACTGGCCTGGTCTACAAAGCAAGTTCCAGGACAGCCAGGGCTACACAGAGAAACCTTGTCTTGAAAAACAAACAACAAAGTAATCACAGTTAAGGAAAAACCAAAGTCCAGCAGTGTAGCTCCAAAATCTTATAGTTCAATGTCTGGCATCTTGGTCTCAGACTCTTGTGGGTTCCAAAGGACTTGGGCAGCTCCACTTCTTTGACTCTGTCATCCGTAGCACACACAAGTTGTCTCAGGGTAGGTTCAGGCCAACTCCATTCCACACTTGCCTCTCTTCCCACTGTCCTAGTATCTCCAGTTTGCAGAAGTCCACTGCAGCTGAGGCTGCATCTTCATCAGTAGCTCTCCTGGCCTCTCACCTGGGGGACTCCAGTGCTGCTTCTACATGGTGCTAAACCTCAGATTCTCTCCATGACCCTTTCAGTCTTGGAGTTTCACCTTCGCTGAGTGCTTCCCCCCACCACACACACTCTCTGGCCTCTCTTTAGGAAGATGCCAGCCCTGCCACATTGTGCCAAGCCTCAGTTGCTCTTTATGACCTGTACATGCCTGAAAAACCAGTATCGTGGGAGACACTTCCACATCATATGCTAAAGTCTGTTGCCAGCTTAATGTGCAGCCTTGGTCCCCCACAATGGACCATAGTTTCTGTGTGTGACCATAAGGAAATACTTGGAAGAAGATTGCACCTCCATGATGCTAGTCTCTTATTAACCACAGCTGATATTTTTAGCCCCAGCTAACCAGCATTGATTGTCCCAGTAAAGCAAAAGGTTTCACTTCAGTGGTGCTGACCTTCTTTTAATCACAGTTGTTCTTCAGTTCCAACTGATCAGAAATCACAAATTCTTAATGAAAAATATCATATAAACATTAAAGGCCAGGCATGGTGGCTCATGTCTTTAATCCCAGCACTCAGGAGGCAGAGGCAGGTGTATCTCTGAATTTGAGGCCAAATGGTCTGTATAGTGAGCTCCAGGACAGCCAGGGCTACATAGTGAAACCCTGTCTCAAACACAAACACACACACACAGTCTTCTCTCTCTCATGGAGTCTTTGAGCTACTCTCACATTTCTCTCTGAAACTTCACTAGCCAGGCCTTCACTGTCTGCATTTCTCTCAAATTATCTTCCAACAGCTCATGAAGCCCTGAGCACTCAACGGCTTTTCCAGCACAAAGCTTCAAATTTTTCTGCCTTCATCCAATAAAACAGTCCAAGACATTAAAGGTACAGAGTCAGGTCCATTACAGCACTGTTCCTGGTACCAGTTTCTGTCTTAGTTAGCTCTCAGTTGCTGTGATAAAACACTGACCAAAAGTAGTTTGAGAAGGCAAGGATATATTAGCTTACAGGTTACAAGTCCATCATGGAAGACAGCCAAAGCAAGAACCTAGAAGCAAGAACTGAAGTAGAGACCTTAGAGGAACACTGCTTGCTGACTTCCTTTCCTTGGTTTGCTCACCTAGCTTTCTTATACAATACAGGACTACCTATTAAGTGGTGGTATTACCCCTGGTAGTCTGGCCCCACCTCTCTCAGTTAGCAATAAAGAAAATGCCCTACAGATGTGCACATATGTTGTTGATTGTTTTTGCTCTTTTGGGGGGCCCCACCACCTAGCTCCCAAATAAATCACACAGAGGCTTATTCTTACTTATGAATGCCTGGCCTTAGCTTGGCTTAGTTTCTTGCCAGCTTTCCTTAAATTGTCCCATCTATCTTTTGCCTCTGGGCTTTTCCCGTTCTCTTACTTCTGTATCTTACTCTTACTCCATGGCTTAATCTGTAGCTGGGTGGCTGGCCCCTGGAGACCTCCTCCTTCTCTGGCTCCTAGATCCCTTTTCAATACCTCTTCCCAGATTTCTCCTTCTATGTATTCTCTCTGCCTACCAACCCCACCTATCTTTTCTTCTGCCTTGCTATTGGCTGTTCAGATCTTTATTAGACCATCAGATGTTTTAGAAAGGCACAGTAACACAGCTTCACAAAGTTAAACAAATGCAACATAAACAAAAGTAACACACCTTAAAATAATATTCTCCAACACCCACAGAGCAGTTGAAGGAGGCAGTTCCTGAATTGAGGTTCCTTCTTTCCAGGAGGGTGTGTCAAGTTGACAACCAAGATAAGCCCTCATAGTCCAGTTGTGCAGAGAGCCCAGAAACACTGTTCTTTAAGTCACTGATGTGGTTGAACACACGGGACCTGTAGCCCCATCTTCTCATGTCCT